CTACTAATTTGTTAGGAAACTAGAGCAAATTAAAGTGGTGAAATTTTGAAAGCAAAGTGGGTTTGTTTACGTATGGTTGTGTTGAGTGGGAAAATCTTACATTGACTGTAAAAATAAAAAAACTTGTGGGATAAATACAAGGAAAGTCACTTCACATATTACTATTTGGTTTTAAGTTGAATGTAAGTTTTGTATTGAGTTCATATGTACAATTTTCACATGATATTAGAGCCCAGATTTTGTCTTGGGAAACCCATTATTAGCTCATCCGACAAGGGTAAGGGGGCGTGTTAAGTCATGTGACAGGACTCAACATTCATAACAGGCTTGCATGTGAGGAGGACGTGCTGAGTAGGAAAATCTCACATCAAGTATAAAAGCAAAAAATTTGTGAGTTAAATACAAAGAAAGTCAATCCACTTATTACTAATTAGTTTTAGGTTGGATGCAAGCTTTGTATTGAGCCCATATGCACAATTTTCACATGGTATCAGAGTTTAAATTTTGTTTCTAGCCTGCATGTAAAAGAGCGTGTTAAGTCATATGACAAGACTTGACATTCATAACGGACTTGCACGTGAGGAAGCGTGTTGAGTAGGAAAATCTCACATCGAGTATAAAAGTAAAAAACTTGTGAGTTAAATACAAAAAAAATCACTTCACCTATTACCAATTAATTTTAGATTGAATGTAAATTTTGTGTTGAATTAAATTCATATACACAATTTTTACAGGTTAGAGAGGAATCTAATGGGATAGTGAAGAGCACATTCTGACATGCAAGTGTAAAAGATTAGTTTAGGGTTTGTTTAATATACTGCAAGTGAGAAGAGAACATGGTGTCAGGTCTGCTGCCCTTTTGCTGTAAAGAAAACAGATTGGCCCCCCTCAATGGAAAAGGAAAAGCGACAACATTAATATGATGTCATAAATCACCTAACAGATGAGCACTTTGTTCGAAACCCCAAACCTCCCAGAAGCTTATCCATCTTTCGACATCATTAGAATTCAGAAACAGACCGCTTCTGTAACGCATTTTGATTAATAATTATGTATTTACATGCAGATGGAAAATTTCGATGTTTTACTATTTTAACTATTTTAAATTATGAAACACTTGAACTCTATCAAACGGTTCAATGACTGAACGTCTTACTAAGGTCGGTGAACTGTTCACCAGATTTGAAAATTGAATTTTCAGTTGCTAATATTTGATAATACTAACTTTATAATCATTGTCCTTATAAAAAAAAAAAAATTGTGAAACACTTTTTCATTACATTACATGCATGTCATAAGTGTTGCGCGTATTATGTATGTTATTTTAAAGCAGTAAATCCCCCATCCCTAAATTTTCACATCTTCAAAGATTTTTTCTAAAAAAAAGGGGAAAAAAGACCTTAGTAATGGATTTTGATGAATGATGAGATCCTGTGCCTTAAATTTTGAGTGCAGGAACATTTCTTCTTTCTGTTTTTGGCCAGAATCAGAAGCACAAATGTCCAAGAATAATTTTCTTGCTAAGAATTAAGTACGATATAATATTGTATGATGAATTACACCAATTGATCAATGGTATGGGTGGGACCTATTTGTAAGGAAAAAGTAGTAGGATAACTCTATCATCTTTCACCTACCATGGTCCAATTCCTTGACATATTTCTGCTCCAAAAAGCCTTGTAATTTCCCAGTAGCCAATAAAATTGAGTAAAACAAAATTCCTCTTTTTTTTTTATAAAAAAAACTAACTAGCTAGGGAAAGGAGGCAGGAGGGGGAGAGCCACAAAAAGTAAAAATAGAAGATCTAAGGAGAATATGGATAACAACAACAACAACATCAAGAAAAAGGAGACAAGGGAGATGATAGTTACATATTTGATGGGGAAAATGGTCCCTCTCCCTCCTAGTGAAAAAACCTCACCCCTTTTAATTTTTTGTCTAGGAAAATTGCAACTTGGTGGAAAAGAAAAAGTGCTGTTTTTGAAGTAAAAAAGGTCATGTTTGTAATTGTAACACATAGAGCTATCAGATGATTCTGATCATATGAAAAAAAAGCTTTATTTCATCTTTGTTTTGCAATTCAAATAGTATCAATATCAATTTATATGAACCGAACTAAATCTTGTTTTTTTAATATGATAAAAATGCATATGAGAAAGGGATTTGTTGGGATTAGGCCCAACGCCCTCTTAGGGCCACATGTGGCAGGCCCAATTACACACCCGCAGGCCCAAAAGGAGGAGACATACCCACGTGGGCAGTACCACGCGGGCCAATGAAAGGCTTACATGTGCAGATACATGTCAGCACTTGGGGTTAT